CTCTTGCTTCCTTGAAAAGAAAGGTTTGTGCTAATGACATTTGGACAATTTTGTATATATAGATATAGATATATATTAATATATCTGTATCAATATAGATATGGATATATATTGATATATAGATAGATATATATTGATATATATCTATCTTGCATTCTGAGTAACTTAAGGATAACAATATACAGTGTATTGTTAATACATAAAGTAACAATACACATTGTTATTCTCATCTTGTTTTTAAATTTTATTTTAATTTTTTTCCCCTTAAAAATGTAAGAGGAAGCCTGTGGGCAGCTTACTTTATTTTTCAGTTTCCTCATCTGTCAGAGAGGGAAGCTAATAGCTTCCTTACCTGTTTCCTAGTTGACTCTGTGTGTGTGCGTGTGTGTGTGTGTGTGTGTGTGTGTGTGTGTGTGTATCAGTAACAGACTCAATGTGAAAGGCCTTGAAAAACTAGTAAGAATGACGGCAACAGCCAGTGTTGCACACATGCTGAGCTAGGCACTGTGCCATGTGCGTTGTTACCTCCCAGATTGCAGTACTTTTAAGGGTAGTTAGTACTATAGTTTGAAAGTGAAGTCACTCTTAATAGAGTGATAAATATAGATAATGTATTTGAGGATTTGAAAGGGAAATGTAATTGCTTCTGGCTGTGATTCAGGAAAGAATTCCTGGATGAGGTGATATTCTGGCTCAGTCTTACAGCATTTGTGGAAAATTATTGTCCTAATGGCCTAGAAATGACCTTTTATGTACCATTCATCTAACTGTAAATCAATCTTTCTTGCAAATGTGTGATTAAAAATGCCTCTAGCAAATAGTTTGCTTTGGCTGCCCCATGCTTTTCTCTCCCCTAGATGAAAAGAAAGGTGGACAGCTTCATTTTCTTCTAGGAAGGTCGGTGCTAGTTTCATCAAAGGCTTCTGGAGGATGCCATGCGTGGTGGACAGGAGGACTGTACTGTTCTCTACTCAATATTGTGGACATGCTGATCTGAGTCATTGCTTCCTAAGCTTAGCAAGCTGTGGTGTATGGTGTAGTGATGACAGCATCATAAAATAACTTGTTTACTTATACATCATTTGTGTCAGTTCTTGAGCAGAGTTCTTAGTTTTTTGAGTACTATTAGAATTTATTGTAACAATCTTCAAAGAAACTGTAGTCACTGACAGTTTGATTCATCTTATGTATATAGATATTTCTGCCATAATATTACTTACACATTTCTGTAATAGCCTGCGTTTTGGAAGAATTCCTAAGAGTCCCTACGAATGCCACTAGAAATCTGTGTTGCTTTCTAATGTGGATCCCACAAGGCATAAATGACTATCTGTTTTTTTTTTTAATTATATTTGTGTGTGTGTGTGTGTGTGTGTGTGTGTGTGTGTGGCCAGCTCAGCCCACCAGGGGGCGGGGCTGGCTGACATGTGGGGGATTGAACTGCGGTCCCTGTGCTTTGCTAAGCTTGTTCTAAGTAGGTGCTTTAGACCACTGAGCCATCTCACCAGCCCATAAATGAATATCTGAAGAGAAGACTTGTGCTGCTTGGGTATAGCTGGTATAGTTGAATTTATAAGTACTGCAGTATGTGGGACCAAGAGCCTGAGCTTAGCTGGGCTACCTGAATTTGAGTAGGGCAGCAGGTACTTGAATGCACAAGTGGCTGTGGAGACCTGGGTATTAACTGGTTTCGGCAGGACATAGGGCAGGTAACAGGCCAGCATTGTGTTGGGGATGGATTCTGAGTTCAGGCATAAGTCTTAACAATTCTGAAAATATGTCCAAAAGTGTTCCTGTGGCGACCACAGCCTCTATGTCTAGGACTTTTCCTTTTGCTTCTTTTTATTGTTGTTGTTGGTACTGGGAATCAAGCTCGGGACTTTGCACTTGTCAGGCAGGCACTTATGCTGCTGAGCTATATCCCTGGCCCTTCCCTTTGTTTCTTAAGACCCTAATTCTTTGTTGATTTCTCTGCCTATCCCAGCCAGGAAAAAGTGTATGGACTGAAATAACTTCCTTGTTTTCCTAACTTACTTTTCTATTCATAGATACATCTATGTGGCAGATAAACTGTGTGTTCACTTCCTACTCAGCCCCCTTGCTTACTTACTTTCACACCTCCATTCCCTTGTTCCTAATGACCAGTGGTGGCTAAACATTGGATTTATGTGATTCCCTAATCTCATTTTATTCCTTGCCAGAGTTGCAAGACAAGGCCATACCTAGAGGAGCAGTTGTTCAGGACAGTGCTCTGGGGAGCATAGGGCCTAACTCAACATGTGGACTAGATAAGGAAGGGCAGTAAGGTTTGGGATTGAGTGGAAAGTGAATGAAGCAAAAGAGAGAGAGAAGTAAACAAAACTAAACCAAAGGAAATTGGTACCATGTTAAATATGAGTTTTTATTATTCACTGTTAACCATTTGGGTAAAGTAGTAGAAAAACTCATCTTAGTGTCTTATCAGGAAGGTACTAAGTTAAATTCTTTGTTACTTTCACTGAATGAATTTAACTTTGAAGATTTTTAAATAATTTTTTTGTAATTAAACATGCAAACAGTGCTTGCTTTATTCATGCATATGCACTATATACAACTTTGGAAAAATACTGTTTTGTCCTCTTTTAAAAGTTATATACAAAGTTTGTGGATATTTTGGTTCCCCTTTGTTATTGTGTGTGTGTGTGTGTGTGTGTGTGTGTGTGTGTGTGTGTGGTTTCATCCTCTTTTTGCCTATCCCCTGACCCATCCCCAAAATTTTGATGTGGGGCATCTGTATGAGTGTGTTCCTCTGTGCGAGGTGGTGGGGAAGAAATCCTTTACTGAAGTACATCATATGGCTGGTTTGGACATGAAGAATAGGATCGAGAAGCTGTGTGGAACTTTAACTGTATTCCACTTAGGATAAAGAAACAAAAAGGAGTCAGCTTGAGAGTGAAGCTACATAACAAGTTAAAGTTTGGAGTGCTTTTAGTGTGTTTGTCACCTTTTGTTTATGGCCTAGAATGCTGTTGTACATAGGTTTATCTACTGTTTTAAATTACAATATAATTTACTTAAACTTTCTGTCAACAAGACAATCCTGTTAAAAAGGACAGAGTAGGGGGCCAGGGAGATAGCTCAGTAGAATAAGTGCTTGCCTGGCAAGCGCAAGAGCCTAAGTTCAATCCCTAGTCCCCCCGCCCTCCCCCCCCAAAAAAAAGACAGAGTAAAGCATAATTTTATGTACTACCTAGAATTAATAACATGTGTTGATCTTTTGACTGTTTACTTCACATGTTTTTATAATAAAAGCAATATGACAGATAGATTTGAAATCCCTTGGCTTTCTTCTCAAGTCATAGTCCTCTGTCTACAGACAGCAGCTACTCTGGCTGTTCTTGTGTCCTTCTTCATATTTGTGTGGCATATGTATCCATAAACAATATTGTATTAGTTTCTGTAATTTTTGTTTTTTTTTTTTCTGATATTGGGATTAAACCCAATGTCTTCATGATGAGCTACATCCCCAGGCCCTTTTATTTATTTATTATTCTGAGACAGTTGTCCAGGCTGGACTGAAATTTGTAATCCTCCAACCTCAGCTTCTCAGAGTGCCGGGTATATAGTGGTGTACCACCATACCTGACTTTCTGTCTTTTATTTGCAAGGTATGTATGTTGTTTAACCCCTCTTGTTTTAGAGATTTCTCCATCTGATATATTCAAGTCTGGTTCAGACCATGAAAATGCTGTGTAGTGTCTTCTGGTATGAACATACTATCTTACTCATTTATGTTGGGTCCTAGTAATATTAAGAGATGTGTCCTTGTTTAGGTTTTTTGGTGCATATGGTTTCTGAGTCATGCTGTGGCTTCTGGGCTACAGACTGTATACACGTTTGCCTTTATTTATCTCTTAATTCTCGAAAATGTTCACTGGAGCAGGTGGCTTGCTGTTCACTTCACACATGAGAAGAGTGTTAGACTGAAGTGCTAGAGAGTTTGGCCAACTTTGTAAAGGGGACAGAATCCATATTGAATTCCACCCATTTAGATCCAGGGTTCTAGTACCCAGCAGTTCATGTAGACCCTCAACTTTTAACCTTTATAATCATTAGAAGAGTTGCAGCAAGCTCTGTCTTTCCGTCTGTCCATCCGTCCATCTATCTGTCATCTATCTCAGAGCAAAGAATTAGAGCCAGTTATGAAAAGGGAACATGTAAGAAGGACCAAGAGGAGCCATACTCCTTAGTCATGGTCACCAAAAGGGTTCAAGTTTGGGAGTAACAACATGCTTCATAAAATTGGGGGGGGGCTGGGGTCCGTTAGATAGCTGAGTGGATTAAGCGCCTGCTTAGGCAAGCACAGGTCCCAGGATTCGATACTGGCATGCTGGGCTGGCCCCACCCCCACCCCCACCCCCAGGCATTCCAAGCCAGCCACCTGCTCCAGGCATGGTGGTACATGCTTGTAATCCCAGTGCTGGGGAGGCTGAAAACAGGAGAATCATGAGTCTGAGCTGTGAGATGAGATCCTGTACTAAGTACATTTTAAAAGAAATGAAAAAAGATGGGTCCTAGGTTTCATATACATAAAACATGTTTCTTCATGGTAGAAAACTATTTTATGTTGCTTAACATGCAAATATTAAATGCAGTATGTGGGCATCTTTTTTTTTTTTTAAAGTTGAGAAGGATTTTTTTTTGGCTGGCTCGGGCTGCCTTTAGGGGGTATGGTATGGTATGGTATATGGAGCTGGAGATCGAACCGTGGTCCCTTGTTCCTGACTGGGTTTGCCCAAACATGAACTTAAACAACTGAGCTAACTGGCAAGCCCTGGCATTTTTTGATTAAAGAAAGATGTTATAGTGAGTATGAGTTAGTATTTTATTTTGCAAAACTTGTAGAACATTTTTGCAGGTGTAAAGCTATCTGACTGTGAATTGTTCACTTAAACTTTATTCATACATGAACCATGTCTTTTTATGCTTCATTTTTTGTTTTGCTTTTTTTCAACTTTTAGGTAGAAAATCTGGTATATTAATTGTGAAAATTCTAGAGCTACATGAGGAATGCACCATGCAAGTTGCCATGTGTGAGCAGTTAATGGGTCCGCCATCCCCTACCCCTCTCCAAGGTATGATCTCTGCACCAGGAGCCTATCTGAGAGTTCTCTTTACGCGAGAGACTGCAGGCTACCTCTGTGGACGACTCCAGGACATCATCCTTATTTTTCCTCCCTGGTAAGTGCAAAAGACTGAGTCTAGCAGTCACCCTATGAGTCTTTCTCACAAGAGAAGCCTTTTTTTTTTTTTGCCTGCAAGTAGGCACAGGGGCTGGGGATTCCATCCCTGGGTCTGCCTTGCTGGCCCTGTCCCCGGGGTGCGCTGAGACAATTGAGAATGGGCGTGGTGGTATGTGCCTGTAATCCCAGCTCTTGGGAGGCTGTAAACAGGAGAATGACTAAGACTCTGATCTAGTAGTGAGACCTTGAACACTCTGTAGACATTCCCTAAAATACAAACAAACAAATAGACAAACAACAAAAACCCAAGAAAAACATTTTTAAAAAAATTAGAAACACTTTCATCACTTTATTGTACAGGCCAGGGAAGAAACCCAGGAATTTACATAGGTTGTCCTTTTGGCAGCAGAGCTTGATAACCTGAGGCAAGGTGGATTGGAAAACAACTACATCATTCTTGTGGAAGGGGGTGTGGTGTTAAGATCTAGCTGTTTTTGTTTGTATCTTTCTTTAAAAATACTTCTTACAAGGAAGCATTATATGACAATAGGATTATATATAGTAAATTAGTATTTTTTGCTACTCACATCAGAATAAAAAGTATAAATTAAGATAAAATATGGTTTTAACTTCAGGAAGATATTCAGTATTCGATCACAAATTATTTTTAGCAACACGTTTTTCTTTTCTTTGTATGTGAAATTTCACCACGAAGATAAGAAAACCTCACTAGACTTATTTTAAGAACTAATTATTTTTTGACAATATTTAATGTTTATTTATTTCAGAAATCCTTAGATTTGGAATTAACAAAAGATTTTTAAGCTTAAATTTTTCTCAAAGGAGTGATTTCTCTAGGGTGTCCGTAGTCAGTGTTCATCACTGCTTGATTTCTACACTGACGGCCAGAGTTGAACAGCAGTCATGGACTCCCAGAAAGTGCATCTTCTGGCCTGCTTGCCCTCTTGCCTACATTCTTTCTCCTCCTCCTCACTTTTGGCTCTTGTTTAGTTTTATTCTTTGAGTAATTTTTGCTCCATAATTGTAGTATAGACTGAAAAATAAGAGTGACAGGAAATTCTGCCTTTGTCCTAAGAACGGTATGTTTAGTTCTTCCTGTTTTTAGACAGCATATTATCCAGTGGAAATATTTTGCTTTCTAGGGAAAGAAAATGGAATGCATGTATTAACAAACTTATATGGTACCATATATTAATGCTGTTTTTAGGGATTTTAGTAAATACATAGAAGTGAAAATATGTGAAGTACAAGTAATTCTATATTTCTCTGGACTCATTTGATCTAACTTTTTCAAAAATGACTTATCTCAAAAAAATCAAAAGGTATAAATGTGGTTAATAAGTATTAGTATACAAAAGGAGTTTTGGATCAGGGAGACAGCTCAGTGGCGTAAGTGCCTGACTGGCATACACAAGGTCCTAAGTTGGATCCCTGATACAGAAAAAAAAGAAAGAAATTTGCTCCTTTTAAATTTTTTTTAAAATTACTACACATTTACAGTATTTATGGTTGCGCTTATTTTGGGGAATTGGTACATGTATATAAGATCTCAATTCTTTTTCTTCTTTCCCTGCAATCCCTTTTTAAAAGTTCATTTTTTGGGGTCAGCATTAGATTATTTATTTATATAAATCCTTTAACTGTCATAAATACAGATTGACAGCCAGGCCTGCAGGACAAAGAAACATAGAACACATAGATAATAATACTAAATCACGGTATACTTTCAGATTCGTTTTCTGTGATGGATTATAATAACTTTTATTTTCTTATTGTCTGTTTTTTGTTTTGTACTTTATGTATTAGGTTTCTTTATAATTTTTCTTTACATAAGAGAAATTAGGTGATATTTAAACTTGTGAGTCTGATGTACTTCACTTAACATTGTGGTCTCAAAGTACATCCATTCTCTTGCAAAGTAGTACTCCTTTGTGTGTAAATACTACATTTTCTTTAGCCATTCATCTACTGATGGATGTATAATCTAGTTCCAAGATTTAGCTATTAAAATAGAATTCTTTTCTTGATTTCTTTCTGATAAGTTCATTTTTGGTGTACAGGAATACTATTCGTGTGTGTGTTGTACTGCCACTTTACTGAGTTTTTAAAAAATGTATTTAGTACAGGGTCTACAGGGTCTCACTATGTAGATCAGACTTGTAGTGATTCACCTGTTTTGAGCCTCCCAAGCACTGAGATTACAGGTACACACCACCATGCTCAGTCTCAATTGCCATCTCAGCTCGCCCCGGGGGCAGGGCCTGCATAGCATGCATTGGACCCCGGCCATGCGCTCTGCCTAAGCAAGCGCTTTAGTCTGCTGAGCTATCTGGCCGGCCCTTACTAAATTTGTTTATCAGATCTAAATGTCCTCTGGTAGAATTTTTTTGATCTTCTATGTCAAAGATCATATAATGTACAAATAGTGATAATATGACTTCTTTCTTTCCTTTTTGTATCCTTGTATTTTCTTTTGTTGCCTGATTTCTGTGGCTAAAGATTTAAATACTATATTAAACAGGTGTGGTGAGAATGGGCACTCTTCTATTAATGCTTTTAGCTCTTCCCTGTTCTGTGTGATGCTGGCTGTGGACTTGTCATATGTGTGAGGTTATGATCCTTCTGAAGCTGTTTTCTTTTTTAAAATTAGATCTTAAAAGGGCCAGCCAAATAGTTCAGCAGATTAAAGTGCCTGCAAGCAGGCTCAGAGGCCAGGGACCAGGAGTCAGGGGTTCAATCCCTGGGCCTGCACCCCTGGGGTACACTGGGATGGCATTTCAGTCTGGGTGTAGTAACACATGCCTGTAATCCCAGCTCTTGGAAGGCTGTAAACAGGCAGATTACTACGAGTCTGATCTAGTGGTGAGACCCTGAACATCCTCTAGACCCTTCCCTAAAATACACACACACACACACAAAAAATTAAATTAGATCTTATTGGTAATATATATCATATTCTTCAGAGAGAATTTGTACCTTACATGATACAGCTTTTTTTATCCCATTCCCCTACCCTCCCTTCAACTCCTCTCTTCCTCCCCATTTACAAAGCTTTGTTTCCATATTTTCCTTTTCTCACTTTTATTTTTCCCTTCTTTCCTTTCTCCCTTTCTTCTCTTTCATTCCCCTCTTATTTTATTTTATTTTATTTTATTTAGTACAGGGTCTACAGGGTCTCACTACACAGATTGAACTCGTAGTGATTCTCCTGTTTTTAGCCTCCTAAGCACTGGGAGTAAAGGTGTACAGCACCACGCCCAGTCTCTGTCTCTGTCTCACTGTGCCCCCGGTGTGGAGCTCGCACAGCACTCCAGGGATTGAACCCCAGTGATGAGCACTGCCTAATCAGACACTTTAGTCCGCTGAGGTATTAGGCTGGCTCTTATCTGTCCTTTCATATCACAAGTTGTATTGAATTAATGAAATTGGAAATGCTGATGTTTAGTGCATATATACTTAGAAGTTTTCGTCTCTTCTTGGTGACTTTTTCCCTTTACCATTGTACACTGGCCTTCTCTCTCTTCTAACCAGGTTTGGTTGGGAGTCAACTTTGTCTGACATAAGCAGAGGTATTTCTGCTTGTTTGGAGGCTCTACTTGCTTGGCATATCGTTTTCTATACTTTCATTTTCAATTCATGTATATGTTTACAGGTGAAGTGTGTCTCTTATATAGATGAGTTTTGTTTTTTGATCCAGTCTGCCAGTCCATGTATTTTCATTTGGTAGTTTAGGCCCTTTACATTAAATGTTATTGAAAGGTATATACTAATTCCTGTTACTTTATTGTTTTGCCATTGTATGATTCTTTTCTGTTTTTCATTCATTTAACTGCTTTCCAAGTGAGATTGATCATTTCCCTCAAAGTTGTTGTTCTCATCAGATCTGGTTTAGATTCCCTATA